AAGTGATATGAAGCCAGGGTCTTTGACTACAGTACTACTATAGTACTGTAGCAGGAAATTTATTTAGAATGTTATAGGTCCTTCTCCCTATACAGGACAGGCTATTTCCCCACAGCCTGAAGTCCTGGTGGTGGCAGAGATATGGTCACAGACCCTTATAATACCAATCTGGAGGAGAAAAGTGGAGACAATATTTTCTTCTCCTGAAAAGTATACTCTGGTTTTATGAACACCCAGAACATATGGCCTGCCTTTTTGATGCTTTAAGGTGTTTATAAGAAAAGTAACTCAGAAGGTGGGAAGATATCTTGAATTTGAATCCTGGGTCCAAGCCTAGCTCTACTCCAGACTATTGTGGACTTTATCTGCTAATGTACCTCTTCTGCAACCCATGTTTACAACAATGGTGGAAGAGACTGTATGCAACAGGAACAGTGCCTACACAATTCCCACATTCCAGGTGAAGAGCCCCTCCTTCCCTCCACCTCTGGAAGCCTTTTGTGTTTCCCAGCACTAAGATGGGGAATGCCTAACAGAAAGCAGGGGATTTGGTGCCTCCACATGACCAAGACCAAGTGGTACAGGTTACAGATGTAGTTGCTCTGGCCTTTTTGAGGAGATTTATAGATTTGCCATTGTTGTAAGAGTGCCTTGGGTTTGTTTTAATCATATATAGGAGATGCACATAAACACACACATTGTCACAGAGAGCTACAGTTTTCTATAAGCAGTAGTGAAGAGCCCTTTGGGAAGACCCAGGGTTGGTCAGGAGATGATGGTATGGGAGGTGATGGAGAATATGGAAAAGAGACTTTCTTCTATTCGTGCACAAAGATGAGACAGCATAAGTGGATTTAGGGTTAGTATGTTATAATTTCAGTGAGCTTAAGGGGGCATGAGCCATCTCTGGTATTCTGGTACTAGGACATGCCATGATTAATCAGACAAAGTCTGACTTGGGATGCTGGGAGCATAATAGGAAGGATATTGGTAGTATGGAAATTATATTAGTTAATTTGCACACAAACAACTTGGGAAGATGGCTGACTATCTCTAAGAATTAGCTCTCTCCAGAAGGTCATGACTGCATGAAGTGGTCCATGCCTGGGTGAGGTGGTCCATGCCTATAAATCAAGTGATTCAGGGGACTGAAGCTGATGGATTGTAAGTTCAAGGTCAGCCTGAACAATTTAGTGAGATCCTGGCTCACAGTAAAATTTAAAAAACACATCTAGGGATCTTCATGAGGTATAGTAGAACAGCTGTAAAATGCTCTTGGTTAAATCCCCAGTACCTTCCTCTGCCCCTCAAATACACACACCCACCCACCCACACACACAGTCTAAGAATTTATCCCCTTCATGGTCAGCAAAGCCCCATTGTCAAAGGAAGAGAGTCCCAACTGTAAAAGGCCTTGGTACCACAAGTACTTTCTATTTCCAGAAAAAAAAGAAAGAAAATGACTCTGTAGGTGCTTCTAGAGGCTTGCTCTCTGCTCCCTCAGGCAAGGAACTGTGTTTGTGATCATTTTTTTTTTCTTCATGGACCTTATGCAGCCTTGTAAGTGACTGCAGAGTAGCAGGACTCCTTGTTTTAATAGAGTGTCTTCAAGTGAGGCATAAAGCTTGGCCAGCAGAGGAGAGAATTCTGTTGCTTGTCAACAGTCTCTCCTCTGTTCTTTGATCCTCAATTTGTCACCAGGTGATACCTGCCTGGGGCAAGCTCAGGATGTTTGGGATAAGGTCCGACTACTCAGGTATAGAGAAAAGGGCAGTGGCCTGGCTTCAAGTCTTACTGTAGCTTTTTTTCTCTCGGATGGCACCTTGGAAGGGGAAAGTGGAACACTGCACAGAAAATTCTGGAATGTGCAGGATCAGAAGTCAAAGGTTTTTCTTGTAGATGGCAAGATAATTTCCCAGGCCACCAGCTCCAGCATGGGGTTGCAGATTCTGATGGCCTAAATATTAATTTGTGTGTGTGTGTGTGTGTGTGTGTGTGAGCGTGCACATGCACGTGAATGCAGGTGAAGTCCTCAATGACTCACTATTCATTCTTGGAATAGAAGAGGTGGAAAGACTACTTCCTCAATGGGGTTTTTGCTAAGGAAGAATCTTGCCTGTTGTTCAAGTAGGGAAATCTGGCTCAATACTGACAACTGACCTGGGACTGGTAAGGTTTGGGAAGGATGGTAGAACTCTTTGAAAGAGAGTTAGTAGCACCATAATCAGGTCCAAATTAATAATTCTCCTGCCTACAGGCTTTAGGTTTCATCTGATAATATGCTGTGTGTCTCCTTCTGCTCCTTCTCTTGTTTCTTTCCTCCATTCCTCATTACTGGGAGACAATCATTGTGCTTAAAGCACTGGGGAGAAAATAATAAATTAGAAAAATACCAGTTTTTTTCCCCCAGCATGTATGATCTACCTCAGGGTTCCTGAGCCTCAGCATGGTTAAACTTAGAGACCAAAGGGTTGTTTTTGGTAAGGGGCTTGCCCATCATGATGATGTTTAGTAATCATATTCCCTACCTTGAAAAAAAAATGCCTCTAAAAGGCCCAATGTCCAGTCGGTAAAACCACTGCCATGGCTGAGAACTACTGAGCAGTGAGGCACAAAGTTAAGTTCACACCTGCAGTGGAGTTTGCATGGATGTCTCTGTGTCTTCTTGGGGTCTGTTTAATTTAGAGTTATGATCTTACTAAGTTCCTTAGCTTTACCACATTATTGATATTTGTATGGTTTCTCCCCAGTATGAATTCTCTGGTGTTGAGTAAGGCATAATCTTTTATTAAAAGCTTTGTCACCTTCTTTACATTTGTATAGGTTTTCTCCAGTGTGAATTCTCTGGTGTTGAATAAGGCATGGTTTTTTATCTGAATTATTGGAACTTTCAGGGGTTTAGTGCACACCTGTTGTGAGAGAGTAACTGAACAGAGGCTACCAAATGAATCTCCCATCAACAGAAGCACCATCTTAATATTGTGGGATTATCATGGAGGTATTTCTGTGACAGTAAGTCAGTGGAGGTATCTGTGCTTTATAGCACTATGGTGATCACTAAATAACTATAGCTATTATCATTTTTCTTTTTAAAAAAAGCTTTTTAAATGATGCAATTGTTCAGACTTATGCACAGCAAAAACTGGGTCGGATGACCACAAATCCCAAGTCTCTTTGTCTTGTTTTTAACTTGGGATCAAAACAAAGTGCTCTCTACTACTGAGCCATGTCCCCAAGTCTTTTTTATTTAGAGTTAGGATCTTCCTAAGTTGCTTAGATTCTTGTGAAATTGCTGAGGCTGGTTTTGAAACTGTGATCTTCCTTCCTCAGCCTCCCCTGCTGCTTGGATGAAAAGTGTGTACCACTGTTCCCAGCTTTAGACTGAGTCTTTCAGAATACTGAGAGAACCTGAAGTACTGCAGTGGAAGAGATTTCCTCATACTTTATTAACTGTTAAAAACATGATTCCCTAGGAAGAAGCACCTTGAAGAGCCGAGGATGGGTCCAGGGAAAGATGTAACTTTCTGAGCTATCTCAGTGTGGCCTGGGACAGACCTGCTTTTTCCTGGGTGACACAACTGTATCCTTGTAAGCGTTACTGGCAGGATGGACTCATCAGTCCAAATGCTTTTCATTGACACCATTTTTTAATCATTCTTATTTTCTTCAAATGTAACAAAGTTATTGATTTAAAAAGTGTACAGGGCTGTGGTTTACTTTTAAGAGAAAAAAAGGGCAACTATGTTTCATTAGGTACTGACTCAGTGTTCTCTAAAGCAGATGATACACACACACACACACACACACACACACACACAAGTAGAGTTACACATTGGTACAAAGACACACAGTGCTTCTCCTGGTCTGTCTAGTAAATTCTACAGTGTGTTTAGGGGTGGGAAAATGTAGTGTGCTTCTTTCTCATTTGTACAGACCCTCTGGAGGCTCAGGGGCTCAAAGTCATGGATGGAGGCTCAGGGCCCTCAGGGGTCATGGACAGTCCTCCTGCTGTCTATTCAGTGTGAGCATTCACACCCACTACATGTGTAGATTTAACCACAACATGCATTGCATTTTGCTGTTCAATATATTTGTATCTCAGCCACCTGGTTTCAAACTTATAAACTGAATTTGATGTAGAAAGCTAAGATGTACCATGCAGGACATTTTAAAAGACAGAATCAGATGCTTGAAGCATGACAAAAACATCTTTTGAATGTTTTTTATGGACATAAAAATCCTGAGTAAAATTAAACTAACTACAGAGCAAAAGACATTGACTTTTGGATGCAGCGATGCATGCTGGTCATCCAAGCAGCACAGGAGGCTGAGGCAGGAGAATCACAAGTTCAAATCCAGCCTTATTAGTAAAAATGAGGCCCTAAGCAACTCAATGAAATTGTGTCTATAAATAAATACAAAATAGGGCTGGGATGTGGCTTAGTGTTTGAGTGCCCCTGAATTCAATCCTCACTATACCCCCCCAAATAAAATAAAATAAAATAAATAAATAAGACATTGACAGAGGAACATGCTGTCCATCTGAGGTTATGGGGAAAACATTGATGTGATCATAGACTTCAGGCATAAGATAGTTTTATTAATGTGTTGGTTTGGTACAAAAGAGGCCTTTAAGTCCAGAGATAGCTTTGGAAAAAAAGATGATTTGAATTCAATCAATTCAAACAGAGAAACTGAGGAAAGGACAAGTGAACCTGGAGAGGTCCTCAGAAGGAAAGAGGGCCAGGGATCCAACCATGCTTCTTGCCCACTTCCATGGGCTCCTGAGTAACGGCCAGTTGGGCAAGGGTTGGAGTTTCATGGAGTCAGTGCTGCAGAGCTATCTCTGGGCAATTGTAATTTTTCTTTCTAGTATGAAGTTTCTGGTGACCAATGAGGTGTGATCTTACAACAAATGACTTACAGTATATAGATTTGTGAGAATTGTCTCAAGTATGAACGATCTGTTTCTTGTTAACACTTGAAGCATACTTAAAACTTTGCCATATTCTTAACATTTATATGGCTCTTATCCAGTATAAATATTTGATGAACAACAATACTTTTTCCTAATAGAATAGCTTTGCCACATTCTTTGCATTTGTATGGTTTCTCCCCAGTATGAATTATCTGGTGTTGAGAAACGTGTGATTTTTGATAAAGAGCTTTGCCATATTCTTTACACTTGTATGGCTTTCCCCCAGTATTAATTCTCTGGTGTCAAATAAGGTATGATCTTTGATGAAAAGCTTTGCCATGGGCTGGGGATGTGGCTCAAGCAGTAGCGCGATTGCCTGGCAAGCGTGCGGCCCAGGTTCGATCCTCAGCACCACATACCAACAAAGATGTTGTGTCCGCCAAAAACTAAAAAATAAATATTAAAAATTCTCTCTCTCTCTCTCCCCTCTCACTCTCTCTTTAAAAAAAAAAAGCTTTGCCACATTCTTTGCATTTGTATGGCTTTTCTCCCATATAAAGTCTCTCGTGTTGACTAAGGAATGACCTTCAATTAGAAGCTTTGCCACATTATTGATATTTGTATGGTTTCTCCCCAGTATGAATTCTATGGTGTTGAGTAAGGCATAATATTTTATTAAAATCTTTGCCACATTCTCTACATTTGTATAGCTTTTCTCCTGTATGAAGTCTCTGGTATCGAGTAAGGTGTGATCTTTGTTTAAAAGCTTTGCCACATTCTTTACACTTGTATGGCTTTTCTCCTGTATGAAATCTCTGGTGTTGAGTAAGTTGTGATTTTTGATTAAAAGCTTTGGCACATTCTTTACATTTGTATGGCTTTTCTCCAGTATGAATTCTCTGGTGTTGAGTAAGGCATGATTTTTGATTAAAAGCTTTGCCACATTCTTTACATTTGTATGGCTTTTCTCCAGTATGAATTCTCTGGTGTTCAGTAAGGCGTGATTTTTGATTAAAAGCTTTGCCACATTCTGTACATTTGTATGGCTTTTCCCCAGTATGAATTATCTGGTGTTGTGTAAGGTGTGATCTTTGATTAAAAGCTTTGCCACATTCTGTACATTTGTATGGCTTTTCTCCTGTATGAAGTCTCTGGTGTTGAGTAAGGTGTAATTTTTGATTAAAACCTTTGCCACATTCTTTACATTTGTATGGCTTTTCCTCAGTATGAATTATCTGGTGTTGAGTAAAGCATGATTTTTTATTAAAAGCTTTGCCACATTCTTTACATTTGTATGGCTTTTCTCCAGTATGAATTCTCTGGTGTTGTGTAAGTTGTGATCTTTGATTAAAAGCTTTGCCACATTCTGTACATTTGTATGGCTTTTCTCCTGTATGAAGTCTCTGGTGTTGAGTAAGGTGTGATTTTTTATTAAAAGCTTTGCCACATTCTTTACATTTGTATGGCTTTTCTCCAGTATGGATTCTCTGGTGTTGAATAAGGCATGATTTTTGAATAAAAGCTTTGCCACATTCTTTACATTTGTATGGCTTTTCTCCAGTATGAATTCTCTTGTGTTGTGTAAGGTGTGATCTTTGATTAAAAGTTTTGCCACATTCTCTACATTTGTATGGCTTTTCTCCTGTATGAAGTCTCTGGTGTTCAGTAAGGTATGATTTTCTATTAAAAGCTTTGCCACATTCTTTACATTTCCAGATTTTCTCTCCAGTATGATTACTGTAGTGTTTAAAAAGGTTTGAGCAACACTTAAAGACATTTTCACATTTCTTCAACTTGTAAGGTATATCTCCATTGTAAAGCCTATGATTTTTAGTAATCAATGAAATTTGAGTAAAATTTTTTTCACATTCTTTACTTATGGAGGATTTATCACTGCTCTGATAAACAATTGAGGAATCTTTAAATGCTTTTACATATTTTTTACATTTGTAGGGCTTCTCATTCATACTAATTCTCTGGAGTTCAGGAATTTTTGTAGTTTTATTAAAAGTGCTTTCACATACCTTATATCTGTAATTTGTCTCTTGATTATGAAAGCTTGGATAAATAAATTTTGGACATGGATTAAAAACTTTTTCACATTTATCATTGTAAAGCTCTTTTAAATGATCACATGGGTGTTTTCTAGGATTTAAAAAAGAAGAAAATTTTAATGAATTTCACAGAATTTACATTATTTTACACCACATCTAATATACTTCTAATTATCTAGGGTAGAGATTGTCTACAGGTCCTAAAAGATTTATCATAAATATAGAGGTCTGTCTGAGTATCTACATATACCTTTAAATTAAGCAATAGTAGGTAAGTACAAATACTCCCACATTCATTATAATTCCATGCATTGCCACATGGAGAAACTGTTCATCGCATCATTTTTGTAAAGTAACAATCATCTCCTCCTCCTTCTCCTCCCCCTTCTTCTCCTCCTCCTCCTCCTCCTCTTCTTCTTCTATCTTGTCTACAGAAATATTTGTGGATATTTACAAAATGGTGCATTTCAAATTATTCCAGTGACCAACTAAAGCATGTAGTAGACTACATAGAAAATTTTTCATTTTTTAGAGGAAGGGTATAATTACAAAATGCTGTGCAAATATATTTAAAAGCACACACATGTCCTCAAATATGACTGCCATATGTGTTGTTGTCTTTTTCCAGCTTAGCCAATGCCCCATATCTCTACAGTTCCACCTTGCCTCCAACACACTATTGTCTGGCTTTAATTTGCGGGGAATACTGCAGGCACTGGGACATAATCATGGCCCTAATCATGTGCCAGAGCATTTTTCATTAAGCCAAAGAGCAAACTGCATCTGAGCTGGAGTGCTCAATTTTCCAGCAAAAATATCTATCACTGAGGGTGTTGTTAAAATTCTTTCTATGTAACTAGCTCACTGAAATCAGTTAGAGAATACTTTTAATTTGTTGAAAACATATTACTTGAGATGCACAGATGAGTAGTGCGAGGGCCTCAGAATAATCTAATGGAAACAGGATTTAGTTCACTGGGGACATGTATAGGATCCAGGAAGTCTCTGGATCTCCCATTCCATCCACACCACAGAATGCATAGATCTTTTGGGATATTCACTTGGAGTCTGGTCAAAATCCCTGTTGCTATGAAGATGAAGCAGTGCATGTCAGATGGAGCTGCTGAAAGATATCTATAAACTGTGCATGTAATTAAAAAAAAAGCATGGAAGCCATTAGGGAAAAAAGTCTGGTATCTGGGAACTCACAGTTGAAATCCAGCTCATTTGAGACTATCCAGTACATGTTATATACTACCTAGTTTTGTCTAAATTCAGCATGGCACTGGAGACGGTATCATCCATTGGAGCCACATAGCCACATAATATCACAGAGATGGGTGAGACTTGCCAGAATGCCAATCAACCTGTCTGAAGAAAGACTCTTCCTGTTGAAATCTCATTCCTACCTTTGACGTATACTCCCTTAAATAAAAAATGGAAAAATTATCTAGTCATTGTTTTTTAGATCCTATGTAATCTAGAGAACATATAAGGTGTTTTACCTCTTTTAACATAAGTTATGGCCTTGTCTCATATTCCTTTACTATTTACTGTCTTGGTATCCATACCTGCTCTTTATCAAGTTTTGCAAAAAATATTTTATTTCTTGTTCTTCTGAAAATTCTTGGTTTTGATTAGAAGTCAGATCTGAAAAAAATTAAAATAGCAAGTTATTCCACTTACGACACTATGGTGAATATACTCTGCAAATATATAAAACCTTATCAAGGTGTGTGGGGGGGAGTAGTCACAGAACAGTATGATTCAAGGCCATTATTACTCAAAAAATATATAGAATTTACTACAATATGCTGACAAATACTGTGAGAACTTTGAAAATCATCTTAAGAATTTGTAGCACCACAGATGAGGACAACATTCAAACTGACTGATATTATCACAATCACAGCCCTTTACTTCAACATATTTGAACTCCATCTGTGACTCAAATGTTGCAGAAAATAAATTTCTCATTTAGTTATTTTTTATCTTTGTGGGGAATATTTCATAGGATTAAACACACTGGTATTCTATCACTAAACTACATCCATAGACCTTCCTATGTTTAAATTTTTTTTTTGGAGACAGTTTATTATAACAATGCTGAAAATTATTTCAAACTGGCATTCTACTGCCTTAGATTCCCATTATATAGAATTACATTTATATATCATTGAACATGACCTATTTTTGTTTACTTTGTAACTTCCAAATATTTTCCAAAAAGACTATAATGATCTAGTTTAACAGATTTTAAATAGAAAAATCTCAATGAAAATAATAGATCACACAATAAAGGTTATACTCAACTCAAGCACACAAATAATTGAGAGTTGGAAAATATATGTTGTCAATTATCTAAGCAATGCCCAATAACCACTTGAAAGATATTTGTTAAACTAAATAAGAATGTAGAAAATTGAAAAAAAAATCAGAAAAAAAGCAACAGAAAAAGTAGAAATTATATACTAGAAATATTTTTTAAAAAATCTCAGGCTGGGGATACATTTTAGATTGTAGATTGCTTGCCTCATATGCAAAAGGCTAGGCTTGATCCACAGAACCACCCCCCCCCCCACACAAACAGTCTCATCAATTAAAAATTTGAGGAAGAGGAGACCCAACATGGCAGCCGGCGAGGAAGCAGCACTTTCAATGCCTCCGCAGTAACGGGATCAGAGAGACCCATTAATACACCTACATGTGACCTACTGAGAAACTTCTAGCAAAATTCCGCTGAAAGGAGAACTGCCGGGAATTTGTAAGTCTATTGGAGGGGTCAGTTTATCCCAGACGAGTGAATCTCGGCATCGCGGACCAGGGACACAGTCCCACTGGCCGCCACCAAACCGCCGAACTGCCGCTGCCCACACGTTGCAGCGAACGTAAGAACGGCTGCTGCCTGCCTGGGCCCGGCTCTGTCAACCGCCTCTGGTGGTTCGGCACTGCAAACGACCACCCCCCCCCCTGCAGCCGGTTCGGCGCTGCAAACGACGACGCTCCACCCACCCCGCGCTCCTGTGAACAACTCCGGCCTGCTGGGCTCTGCAAAACGCCCTGCCAAGACGGTGAATGGGCCACGCCCGCCCAGCTCTTTGAACAGCCCTGCCCTCATGGGGGAATCAGGAGTGGCGCGGGACCCGCGACGCGGAACTCCGGGTTACTGCTCCCACCAGTGCTGACAACTGAGGTCTCTTGCACCAGCTTCTGGGGGTGTGGCTACCAGAGGGCAAGCAAATTCGCTGGGGATTCTCAGCCCCAAGCTCTACAAACTTAGGGTCCGAGGGAGTGGCAAACAGGGAGAGTGTGCCCAGGCGTTCATGAAAACAGGGCTCACAGGAGCAGCAGACCTGGCGTGTAGCCAGTATAGTGGTGAGCGTCACCGGTGAGCGGGGCCTAGCTCGAGGAAAAGTGGGAAAGTGAATAGACATAAGAGAAGGCCCTAGGCACTCAGGATTGGAGACGCGCCCAGTCCGGGAGGAAGAGCTGCTGCACAGTGACAGGCTCCCGCCTACTGAGAGGAGAAGCTTGGCCCGGTGGGCACAGCTCCACCTACTGGAAGAATAGTGAATAGAACTCTAAGACTGCATTTATTAAATTTTTTGTTTTTTTAAAAATTTTTTAATTCATTTTATTTTATTTTATTTTTTAAATTTAAATTTTTATTATTACTATTATTATTTTTAAAATTCTTTTTAATTTTCTATTTTTTTCTTTCTTCTTTTCATCTGTCTTTTCATTTCTTTTCAATTCTCTTATTCCCCCTTCCTTGAATTCTACTTGCTTACTCTCATTCTCTTTGGTGACTTCTTCCCTTCCCTTCTAATACCTTTCCTCCCAAGCATCAAATAAATTTATAGGAGTAAACAGTAACTCAGCTGTCAAACAGCACAAGAAGCAACATGAGCAGCAGGAAAAAACAAGGAAGAAAAGGAGTGCAAACAATGCAGGGCAGCCTAAATATTCACGAGGATATAGAGTCGTATAAAGAACTCAAGGAATACCTTAGACAGATGGAATGGAACCTTAAAGAGGATACAAGACAGCAAATTCAAGCAGCAAAAGAACACACTGAGAATGAATTACATAAACAGATAAAAGAAGAAGTTAAGCATCTTTATCAGGAAATAGAGATTATAAAAAAGAATCAAACAATAATCTTAGAAATGAAGGAAATTATAAACCAAATTAAAATCTCAAATGAGAGTACCACTAATAGAGTGGAACAAGTAGAAGCCAGAACATCAGATAATTAAGACAAAATATATCATCTTGAAAAGAGTCTAGCCAACTCAGATAGGCTGGTTAAAAATCATGAGAGAAACATCCAAGAGATATGTGATAACATAAAAAAACCAAATTTAAGAGTCATCGGGATAGAGGAAGGGATAGAGATTCATACCAAGGGAATGAGTAACCTGCTAAATGAAATAATTACAGAAAACTTTCCAGAAATAAAAAAGGAAACAGATATACAAATTGTAGATGCATACAG